CTTATCTATTGTCTTAAATTATTATAATTTTAACCAAACCCTGGCTATTTTGTTATTAGTAATATTATAATACTATTCCTAGTACTCGACGTTTTGAAACCTCTTACTCATAAAAAAAATTATTGAGACTGAATTGGAGGGGTTTGGCATCAGGCTAAATAAGAAACCTCCAAATATTTATTTTAAAAAAAAGGAAAAGGGAGGTATCAACATGACGAACACGGTTCCATTAACCCATTTAGATTTGGATCAGGTTAAAGCAGTGTTAAGTGAATACAAAATTCACAATGCAGATGTAAACTTTAAATGTGACGCTACCGTTGATGATTTGATCGATGTTATCGAGGGTCGTATTTACATACCCGCAATATATGTCCTCAACAAGGTACAATTCAATTAATGAGTATCGTTTTAGTAAGTCTATTATGATTATATATATTTAAGACTCAATTTATTTCTTCAGATTGATCAAATAAGTATAGAAGAATTAGATTTAATATATAAAATTCCGCATGCAGTTCCTATTTCGGCTCACCATGTAACGCTTCTTTCACTATACATGAATTTCTTTTAATAACTTTCAATATATCATCACATTAAACATATCGTAATTAATTATAGGAATGGAACTTTGATGAACTATTGGAAAAGATGTGGGAATATCTTAACCTTATCAGAATGTGAGCACAAATGATTCAATTTTTCAAAATTTTCAAAATTTGGTAAAAACTCTAACTTCATTATATTATGCTTTAGTTACACGAAACCGAAAGGTCAACTACCTGACTATAGTGCACCAGTTGTTTTGCGATCAAGCCTTTGCAATATTGAAGATTTTTGTAACAGTATTCATAGGGGAATTGTTAAACAATTCAAATAGTAAGCTATTCCTTGCATAATTTGTACATGTTCTGTACTTTTCTGTTTCACTTTCCTAACTTAAGATTTTTGCACTATATTTAGTGCTTTGGTGTGGGGTAGTTCTGCTAAACATCAACCCCAGAAAGTTGGATTGTCTCACGTACTTGCTGATGAAGATGTTGTTCAATTAGTTAAACAATGATTGAGATATGAGTAACTTGTTAATTTAGTGCATAGTTGGTACCTTCAAACTTGGATCTGACGTTCTTGGACAATAGGCACGGTTAATGATTTGATGAATTAGAATAATATAATGCTATAGTTTTGTAATTTGATATGTTTTTGGATAAATTATACTATATGTTGGATCTGTTTTTAATGTATATATATATTTGTTATCAGCTATTATTATTAACAAGTAGGTGTTTTGAAATCATCTACATATTACGAATTAATCAATTTTATTAAAATTAATAAATTGAAGAAATTGGCCTCTTAATATTATTATGAAATAAAATGCGCAAGGTAATGAAACCAAAGATATTAAGGCGTACGTAACTTAAACGTTCATTATTTTATAAAAGGCATTCAATTGTAGCTCTTAAGTGAAATAATATTAATTTTACAAGCCTTTTTATATATGACAGTATCCAGTTACAATGCGAGAATCCTAGCATCAAATATTTTGTTTAAAATTGCAAAGCTTTTATCTAAGGGCTTAATTGCGAAAAATATAAGTGGCTCTTATTAAGGTACATTAAACTATGTATTTAATTAAAATTTAACCAGCCATATTCACACTTAGTTGTTTATATGGATAATCAAGACTAGTCCCTTTTTTTCTCCACAATCTTCTCTTTACTTTAGTAATTACATGCTCAACTAAAACTTCCTCACAGAAACGTTTCTTAAAATCACGAATGAAAATCGGATCCCTATTATACAAGACACGTTTAGATATCCCAGTTGGAATAACATATACATTAATTTATTAGAAACCTACCAAAGTTCGGAAGCTATTCCCAAATCTTTACAACATCTCATCAATGCATTACTTTTAGCACCTTCTGCAGCGGTAGCTAAGCCAGAAGGATCAAAGTAATCTTGTTCGCCCAGAGCAACTGAGACAAGTCTTCATTTATTGGATCCAAGAAATAGAATTAATTCAAGACAAAGTGTTATATATGCCTTCTAAAATTGTTTAAATCATGAAATACCTTCCACAACAGACGAGCGCGTATTCTCGCGATATATTTTTTGGATTGATTGAATTTTCACCACGTGGCGCAAGTCCCCATCCTAGTAAATTCCATTGTCAATGTACAATTACAATCAATACTAAATAAACAAATCGCGAATACCTCCTGGTCCAAATGCTTTGTTCAATATACGACGATATTTTATTTCCGGTAGATAAATAAGCCCATCTAAAAATAAATCAAGCATTTGTATTTAATTGCATTTAATGAATAAATCTTATTAAACATGCTTTAGTTGATATCTATTTACCAGGTTTGATTTCAATGTCTTCCGAAACAACTGGAGCCAAAAGAATTTCGGTCACTTCTTTTGAAAAAGGTTTAGCAGATAAACCAAAGAATGATTTAGACCAATCCTGCTTAATGTTGTTAGCCGAAATTGTTTTGAGTTTGTAGAAATATTTTGACATTTGATATTTAGTCTGCCGAAATTATAGATATGCCGAAATGTCTAAATAATATCGAAATGTCTAAATTAAAAAATATCCGAACTTGTTTATTTTGTAGATTTCACACTATCTACGTAATATAGATTTGCCAAAAACGGCTCTTATTCCTATCAAACAGGTTTAATATACGTATAACGATAACAGATAACGATAATGATTAAGAATTAAATATATAGGAACACGTCACTCTCAAATTTTTTAAAATCCGCTTTATCGTGTTTTATTAATAAATCCATTATATCAAGTAATATATATATATAGTATTTATTATGATGTGGATCTGACTCTTGGTCCATATCAAGATTTTACTTAGTCTCCGTTACGTGTAATTTATGTGTAACATTGGAGGTAAATCTAAAGATTTTAAATAGATTTTGCCTAAAATGGGGACGTCTAAAGCGGATCTTCCCCTATAGGAAGACTTTCGTATGATTGGCAGTTTAAATCAATTTAATTTTATATTATTTATACAGTTTAAAGTGCTTTTAAAAAAAATAAAACTACGAAGAATAAACAAAAAAAAAGCATATAAAAAGTTTTATTAGGGTTGTAGAATTCAAGCATTAAAAATAATCAAAATGATTTCTAGTTTTAAAGAAGTTAGCATAATAGTGACTTCTTAAAAAATAGTTATTATCATGCTAACTTCTCTAAAACCAGAAATCATTTTGATTATTTTTAATAGTAGAGTTCTACTATCCTAATAAAACCTTCTTTATACTTCTTTTTTGGTTATTCTTCGTGGTTTTATTTTTTTTAAAAAGTACATAAAATTTTACTATTACGTAATCATGCCAAAAATCTTTAAGCTTATTTAGGTTTAGGTTAGAGTCTGTACTAAGGTTAGAGTTTAAGGGTTTTTAATAGCAAAATTATTTCATAAAAACTTTTTGTTAATATACAAAAGGTAATTTCTTATACAAATTTTTGAGAAACAACTGGTTTTTAGTTTTTTTTACAAAATAAATGTTTGTTTTGAATCTTTCTAATCATATTATATTACACTAAATCACAATTAATTATTGGTTAATTTGCTATTGATCGTTATGTAATACTTCTAGAATAATCTCTATACCATTTTATAAATTTGATTAGCTATATATTGCTTTTTTTGTGCTCATATTCTCTGTAGGCTTTTGCCTTATTTATTTGATATTAAACAATATACAAATAGCTAATATAAGGTACTAGTATTCTGATCTGAATAAGTATTACCTAGGTTACTCACAGTAGGCAGGTGACTGGGTTGAATTATAGCCCACCCGGGTAGTTAACCTACAGGTTACCTGTAGGTCAACTCACAAGTGCCCTATATAGGTTGCTATAGTTGCTATACTATATATACAGACTGTATTGTATGTATATATTATTTTACTGCAGCAATATGAGTGCCACTATGAGAAAATAAGACTTTGGGTTAAAAAATATAGTTGAAAGCCTAGAGCTTTATTTGGTAGTATTTATATATCATATTTATTGATAAAGATCTACAAATTATAGATTTCACTTTTTTTTTTCTAAAACCTCTTGTTTATTAAATTTTATCTTTGTACAAGCTTTCAATTTCAGCACAAACAAGCTTTTATATTGGTTTTAATAAAAACTTTTTTTCTATTAGATATAAAGAAAAACTTAAAGATTTGGCTAAATCATTAGAAATTTTGTCAAATTATATATAAAGAAAAAACTCATCACATAATAGAAATACTTGCAGATTTAACTAAGTTATTATAAATTTGCCTAAATAATATAAAGGCATTAAAGGCTTATAGCTATTATTCTGAGAACAATGCTGTTATTTTTGGCACATGATATTTGTTTCTTTTAATTTTATAATAGGTAATATTTAATTTTGTATTACTTATTTCAGCTATATATTCATTGTTTCCTGTTTTACTTATATATCTTATATTATTTATTTATATATTTATTCTTGGCTGCATTGTTGGTAATACAAGAATTAGTTTTAGATTAGATATAATGTAGAAAAGGTAGTATAAAATATTGGCACAATGCATAAGTATTGTAGAAATATGAATGACTGCTATAGATAAGGAAACAGTATAATTAAAGAATAATGATAGTATTAAAAGAAGGCAGTGTTGGAAGGTAGGCATTAATGATATAATATTATATATAAAAGGGGAAAGATATTCTGCTATATAATAAATAAATAAAACTCTTGTACTTGAGAAATTTGTATATAAGATCTTCTATTTTACTTTTAATAACGTTTCAAAACTTATTTCTAAATAAAACATAAAAAATAGTAGATAATCAAAATCAAAAATAACTTTTATATCAATCATACTTATTTGTCATATAATCATTAAATCTTATATATTATATTTTATTAATCACTTTTAAATAAAATTTTAATTAATTTATTTTTATTGCTCTTATCAATTATATTATTATTTGGGCTGTTATCAATAGAAATAAGGCAAATTGATATTTTTAAAAAAATTAATATCTTAATTTTCACAGTTCGTATCTCAATGAATTTTGAAGCTATCTTGATGATTTAATATTCAGAAGAAAGCTTAAATCATAAGCTTTCTTTTGACTATTAAATAGTTAAGATAGGCTTAAAATTCATCGAGATACAAGCTATGAAAGTTAAGGTATTAATTTTTTTTAAAATATCAATCTGCTTTATTTCTATTGACAGCAACCCATTTAATCATATTTAAAATTACAATATTAACATGATTCTTTAATTATTAATACCTATCTTCTTTACCTTATCTATTGTCTTAAATTATTATAATTTTAACCAAACCCTGGCTATTTTGTTATTAGTAATATTATAATACTATT